ATGAGCATATGTAAGTTTGTATTAAAGTAAAATTTCTTTTCTTCAAAACTAAAATTACTGCTCCTATAACTGAACCATTGTTAACCCCTGGTTGCTTATTTCAGGTTGGCTTTATTGTTTCTCTTATTTTTAAAAGGTTACGTGTATAGACTATCAGACTTTAATGGATCCAAAGTCGAATCCTCTCTTCACACCAGTCCCAGTGATGACAGGAGTGACTCCTTTAGAAGATTGTGTTATTTCCTTCAGCCAGTGTGCTGGAGCAGAAAAAGATTCTTTGATATTCTTAGCAAAGTGCCTTGGAGCGAGGTATGTAGTATTTTCAGTGTATCTGCTATCGCAGTATACCTTTTTATATATTTGTTTTGACTTGCTGGAGAGTACTCAGATTAGAATTTGCTTGCCATGTCTTTATTATATTTATGGGTGGTGTGTAGTGTGTCTTTGTGAAGGCTCAAGGTGGCAGAGGGGAAGGTGCTACTAGATAGATGCCTGGCAAACTATGGGCATTAATGCTTTATTGGATTAGCTATCAGGAAAGGGAATATTTAATGCTGATACCTGGGCCATTACTGAATAAGTGCTTGTCTAAAAATTATATTCTTCCATGTGCCATATGGATGATTTATTCTTTCTCAGTATAATTTCACTGGTTTGGGGCCAGAAATAAAACGTTAAGTGGGGGCAATGAACACTTTGATAGAAAGAAAATGGATTTAAAAGTTACTTCCAAAATCCATATTGATCCAACCCCTAATTGAACATTAGATGGTAGCTGTTTAAAAAAGAAGCAGAACCTTATTATATCAATAAATGTAAATGAACTGAACTTTTACATTAAAGGTAAAATACTTTTAGGTTATATCATAAAGCAAAACATGACTATGCTTTTGAACAAGAGACACACCTAAAACAAAGTGATTCAGAATATTTGGGAGAAACAAAAAAGATGGACAAAATTTGTTAAGTAAATGCAAACAGAGAGAAAAAGAGTTACAGTTTTACTGTCAGACAAGTTTGAATTCAAATAAAAAGTCATTAAACACAGCCTGAGCAGCGTAGCGAGACCTCATCTCTACAAAAAAAAAATTTTTTTTAGTTAGCTGGGCATGGTGGCACATGCCTGTAGTGCCAGCTACTCAGGAGGCTGAGGCGCAGAGATTGCTTGAGCCTAGGAGTTCGAGGATGTGGTGAGCTATAATTGCACCACTGTACTCTAGCCTTGATGATAGAGCAAGACACCATCTCTAAAAAAAAATAAATTTTGTTAAAAAACATTAAACAAGAAAAAGAAGAGTACTGTAAATAAAGAGTGCTATTCACACTGAAAATATATATGTACCAAATAGAGCATCATTTATCATTTATAAAGCAAAAAAACCAGGAGATATAAGAAAGAATCAACAGAAGCATATTACTTGTAGGAGACTTCCTATCTTTTACTCCATGACAGGTCAGATTCACAGAAAACAAGGAAGGATATAGACTTAAACAGCATAATTAATTAGATATCTACCCTGAAACAGTAAACATACCTTTTCAAGTGCCCATGGACCCTCATAAACATTGCCTGTGAGAAAAATTGGCCACAAAGAAAATCTCAGTAATTTCTTTAATGTAGGAAGAGTGTAGACCATATTCTCTCATCACAGTGCAAAAAACTAGAAATGAATAGCAAAAATAGAAAATGAAAAGACCCTATCAATTGGAAATTTAAAAACTGTTTTTAATAACTCTTGTTTCAAAGAGGAAATCAAAACTATTTATAAGCTTAGAAGTAGCTATCAACCCAATAATAACAAGCAACCTATGTCCAGATTATACGCTTAAAATACCAAAATACCATTTCCCGCTAAAAGAAACCAAAGCTTGATGAAATGGTTACTTTCAGATCTGGGGGAGAAAATGTACTGGTAAATCTGAAACGTTTTGTCAGACCAGATAGCAAGGACATTATCACAGACTACTGAGGAGGGTTGTGTCAAAAGTATCTCCACTGCCCCAAAACAGGAAAATTTAAATATCAGTAACTGCAGTGTATCTAAACACATCAAATATTGCTTAAATCATAACTTCATAATGATGCCAAACAAACCAAGGTAATTGGTCACCTTCGCAAGATGCTGCAGAACCAACCCATTATTTTGAAAGCTGGCAAAGGGAAAAGATGAGGTACTTACTTTGCATTTCCTATACAGTCTGCATCTGGATAACATGATAGTGGATAGTGGATGAGGCAAAGTATCCCTTTATAGAGGTATTCCAACAAATAAGAAATGATAGGATCGTAACTCCTAATGAATGAAAAAATCTGGGCATTGTACATAAATCCAGTATATAGACAGCAAGACATTTATGTGCCTCCTGATGTAGGATATACCACTACCCTCAAGTAGTCTTGCCGAAATAATCAATCTGATAATGGTTCTCAATCCAAATACGAATTTGTTGGAAATACAGACAGGAGAGTAAATGTTAAACTATACCACAGTAATACAATCAGCAAAATCCAGACTTTGGTACAACTCTATGGTATGGATGATCCAGTGTCTTAAACAAATACATATTAAGGAGGTGGAGAAAGAAAGAGGAACATACAAGCTAAAAGACATAAACAGAAAACTAAATGTAGTCTTTAAGGATGTGTTATGTGATTAAAAAAGGGTAAAGAAGTGATTACCATAAATGTCCAACTAGTGGCTACTATTACGAGGGGAAGGAAGAGGAGTTGTCTGGCATGTAGGAGAGGTTCTGGGTGACTAGCAAGATTCTGTCCTCTGACATGGGTGGTAGATATAAGGGTTTTCACCTTATGATAATTCATTAAACTGTATAATTTCCTTTTTTGCTGTGTTCTATATTTGAATGATATTAAACAATAAAAAGGTTTTTTTAAAAAACCATAATTGTGGAAAATAACAGACATGACAACAGACTCCATTGGCTACAACTAAAGCGGTGCTCAGAGAAAAATTCAGTAAAGTGGCTATGCAGGAGATTAATATATGGAAATCAGTGACCTTCATATATACAAACGGCTAATTAAAAGAGCTAATGGAAGCAAAGGCAAGTTCAACATGAAACTTGAAAGAACTACAGAAAACTTGTAAGATGCTGTTGAGGGAAACAAAATATTTAATAAAGATTTGAACAGTAGGAAGGATCTGTATGTTCTTACAACAGAAGGCTAGGAATCATAAAGAAGTTTCCATTATCCCCTTTGTTAATGGATAAGTTTAACTTGATTCAAATTAAAATACCAACAAAATTTTTTTTAGGTCACTAAGCAAATTTATTCTAAAATTCATATGAAAATATTAGCAAGCAGGAAAGTCACGAAAATTCTGAAATAAGATCATTGGAACTAGCCCTAACAGTTATTAAAATATATTTTGTGAAACCTCACTAAATAACAGTGTGGTTATATGTAGCAGAAAGTTTTATGAATGAACAGCAAGTTGAGCAGTAAACTCAAATACAAATAGGAATTTAGTTTAGCATAAAAGTGACATTTCAAGTTGTTGAGAAACAGATGGCTTATTCAATAAATAGCATTTGATAAAATTGGAGCCTTATCTCAAACCAAAATGAATACCAAATGGATCAGTGGGTTAAATGTAAAAAATGTGAAAATGCTTTGGGAAGTTGTAGTAGGTTAAAAATATATAATGTGTTATTTATACGTTTTGCTCCTGTTATGGTTCCATGCCTCCTTTTGGAAGGAAAGGACAAGGTGGGTGGGTGATGACTAATTGAGGAGATAATTTTTCTATTCTTTGAAAGTCTAATTTACTTATTTTTTTTGTAAAAAGTTTATTATAGCAATACATTTTTATCCTAGAATAAACATTTGTAAGGGAATTAGCTTAATTTAGGATAGAATAAACCAACTTTTAATCAATGTGTATTTTCTTATGCTTACATAAACTCTAACCACACTGTTGTATTAGAAACTTTGTTCTAAATTTGCTGGCTAATTGTATATATGACGATTTGCTTTTCTTTAAATATAAATTTCAGTGTTCAAGAATTCTTTGTTCGAAAAGCCAATACAAAAAAAGGAATGTTTGCCAGTACACATCTTGTATTGAAAGAGCCAGGTGGTTCTAAATATGAAGCTTCAAAGAAGTGGAATTTACCGGCAGTCACTATAGCTTGGCTGTTGGAGACCGCTAGAATGGGAAAGAAAGCAGATGAAAGCCATTTTCTGATTGAAAATTCACCTAAAGAAGGTTAATACTTTTATTTTGTTCTTTTATATATATTTTTACAACTTAATGATTTGTGGGATATAAATGTGCCAAAGCTCCTTTTTAGGAAAGGTCATTGATTTCTACTTTTCAGGTTGGGTATAGTGAGCCACTGTTGGGCCTTTGTTACTGAGTGATCAAATAAATGTGTGTTCATAGCACAAATGTTTAATTTGTATCTGTACTCTCAAGTGTAGGAAGTATCTGAAAAGCTAGTTTGATGTAAAAAATGAAAGCTAGAGGATAAAAAATAATAGCAGGAGCAATCTAGGGGCTCAGTGTTCCTTCTGTGGCTCACACTAACACACCATTAGTTAGTGTGCTCTCTCTCCTCTCGTCTTTGGGCTTTTCCATTTTTACTATAGACCACCTCACGCTTGTGCTGCTCTTCCTCCTATCTTTCAATTCTCTGCTAAGATGTCACTTTGCCTGGGAAGCCATCCTTGACTCACCAAGTATGACCTTTATCATGCCATAACATTTTGTTGTACCATAACACCCTGTATTATCCCTTTTATAGCTCTTATTCCAGTGTTATAATGCTGGTTTACTTTTGTGTCTCCTTGCTAAACTATAAGCTCCAGAAAGGCAGGGAACATGCATGTCTTATGAATTATGTATTTCCAGTATCTGACATTGGGCCTGGCATGGAGTAACCATCTAATAAGTCTTTTTGTTAAATGTTGAAAAAAGGTAGAAAAAGGGGTGGGAGAATACAGTAGCCTCTCTTGTAAGATAATGACGTCGCTGGGCAAACTTCAGAGATGTATCAGCAGCTTGGAAATACCTCTCAGAGCCATTACTTTTTTACCCAGACAGACCAGAAATTTTATGACAGAGACAACAGTGACGTTTAGGTCATATTAACATATTAACTACCACGTGAGTTGTATTTTAACTCACGCTAGTTTTGAGCCCGGGGCCTCGTGAAGCATCTGTAAGTCATGTGTATCTTCACCTTGGGAGCTGCATGAACTATTTTTCAAGTTGCATATAACTCACACACAGAAAACAATAAAAAAATAACAAATTTTTCATTAAATTAGAAAGGATCATTTTATTTTCAAAGTTTTTATTCTATTTTTGTAGAATAAAATGCCATGGCCCCAAGGAAAAAATCTTTTTTTTCTAGTGTGGCATTCAATGTGTTAAAATTCCACTAAGGAGTTTCCAAGAACTTAACTGTAGTCAACTCTGAGTACATGTAATTGCAATTTTCTTTTTACTTTGCCATTGACTAGGGTGACATGCACTGATGTAGTTTTTGGCAAATAGGTTTGTTGAGACCATTTTAAGGTGTAAACAAGATAAAACAGGAAATCCATTTTTATTATTTGTTTCAGTTAATGTGCTTGTCTAACTCAACACATACATTAATACATCATCTGGTTTGCTTCTTGGAAAGTAGGTATGTAACTTTGTGGTTTAAAGAGTCCCTGAGGGTTAACATGAAAACTAACAAGATATAAACATTGCTTCTTGTGTATAGGAAAAAAAGTGGACATTAATGGCTCATGTTTGTTTCTTTTTAAATCTCTAGAACAAAGTCTGGAAACTGAAATAACAAATGGGATGAATCTAAATCCAGATACTCCAGAGCGTCCTGGCATACACCTGGAAACTCACAGAAAAACAGCTGTTACACCGTTAGATATGAACCGCTTTCAGAGTAAAGCTTTCCATGCTGTGATCTCACAACATGCCAGACGAGCTTCAGCCTCCCCAGCAACAGGACAGCCACTTCAGAAGGAGCCCTCATTACACCTTGATACACCATCAAAATTTCTCTCCAAGGACAAGCTCTTCAAGCCTTCTTTTGATGTGAAGGTAAGGTTTATAGGAAATGGTCCCAGAGTTAACAGTTTTATGAAGTTAAAGCACCAAATTCTGTCACCCCTAAAGTGTAGTATTAATAATAAATTTTCCAGAAGGCCAGGTGTGGTGGCTCACACCTGTAATCCCAATACTTTGGGAAGATTGCTTGAGGCCAGGAGTTTGAGATCAGCCTGGGCAACATAGTGAGACCTTGTCTCTACAAAAAAAAAATTTTAATTAGCTGGGTGTGGTGGTGCCTGCCTGTGATCCCAGCTACTCAGCTACTTGGGAGGCTGAGGCTGGAGGATTGCTTGAGCCCAGGAATTTGAGGTTATGTTGAGCTGTGATTGTGCCATTGCACTCTAGCCTGGGCTATAGAGTGAGATCTTGTCTCAAAACAAAAAAATTTCCAGATACATTGGCAAGTAGATTCATATTATTGAGTCCCAGTATGTATTGAGTCCCAATATATACACCCAGGGTTGAGGTACAGCTGTAGATACATGTGCTATGAAATCTGGACATCTGGATTCAAGTCTTAGATCTGTCTTGAACTGTATGACTCTAGGCCTTTAACATATCTGAGCATCAGTTTCTTTTATACAAAGAGGGTAGTAACACTTGCTCTGAAAACTCATAGATTTATTACAAGGATCAAATGAAATAGTATGATGAAATCATTTTATAAACTATAAAATAATATAAACACATTGCTATATATATTGATTCTAGGAGTGCACTGAGGGTTCGCTTTCTCAAATGTATATATATTATCACCTTACTTTTAGTATATGGCTCCCTTTCTGAAAAATCCGTTTGCAAATCAAGGGCTAATGTAACCTTCCAGATGGTTTTATTTCCCAAAGGTGATTTTTATCACTTCCTTTTGTAGATTTTGGCCTCTCAAGTGGCTGTTCAATCGTTGTCTATGATTTCTTTATCCATGAATCTTTGCAAAATTATTATACCCATTCATCTATTCATGTTTTGCTCATAGGGTATAAAGAAGCAATATTTTAATAATTTTTACTAATGTGTTTTGGAGCAGACTTATTATAAAGTTTATGGATTGTTCATCATCAAAAAATAAGTATTAATTGATATCCAGGACAATTTTGTCCAAATGAATTTATATCTTTACCTTGGTCAGAATTCCAGTGACCCGCATGGAAAAAATGTGTCTTTAATTTTATGATGAACTTAAAATTCTGAGTTTTCACATGAAATCTCTTTTGCAATAACATTTTGTATTGTGATTAACACTCTGCTGCTATTGCCATAAGAAATAAAGGAAAATCACTATCGTGGGAATTGCTAGATCTGGGATCAAACCTCTTCTTTGCCTCTTGCTGCCTTTTAAAAGCAAGTCAACCTCCTTGGACTTCATTATTTCCATCTATAACACACGGAGTAAATATGGATTATCTATAAAGTCTTATATCTCACAGACTTTTTATATAATAAATGAAATAATATTGGTAGGCAAAAGAATAGTAGAAATATTTCCAGCCATTCAGACTATTCTTTTTTCAACACTTTGCAATAAATTTTGCAGTGGAAAGCTGGTATTTCTAAAACAGTCTCAGTATAAAAAATACACATTTAAAGATTTCATTGTCTAGAGTCATAGTTTATTTAGCAGTGTTTTTTCTCTTTTGGTGGTACATAAATGCTTCATCTTATACTCAGTGGTTCTTCAAACTGATGTAATAATGTATATTTAATTCTTTACTCAAAACATAAAAGAGCCATGGAATAATCACAAAATTGGCCATCTGTTAGGCCTCACCAAAAAAAAATAATTCACCTCTTATTTAAGCTTAATTTTTAATTGATACACATCAGAAAAGTACAATAAATTGTTCTGCTAAATGAAATACTATTGTTAACAGTTGGGAAGCCACTGTACATGTTCAGATAGAGACCATTGCCAATACCTTAGAACCTTCTTCATGCCCCCTTCGCCACTTCCTCCCGCTTCCCTAAAGGTAACACTCTTGACTTCTGACACTGTAGTTTTGTTATGTTTGTTTTTGACTTTTAAATAGGTGGAATCATAGTATGTATTCTTTTGAGTCTGTTTTGTTTTTGTTGTTCAGCCTTCATTTAGGAGATTTGTCCATGTAGCTGTTCATAACTATAGCCCATTTATTTATTCCATTGCATAGATATATATATAATTTAACTTTTCAGTCTACTATTGATGGGCATTTAGTTGCTTAATAGTTTTTTGCTCTTACAAAATAATGTTGCTGTGAACTTTCTTGTGCATGGCTCTTGGAATCTGTGTGCATGTATTACTGTTTGGTATATACCTAGAAGTGAAATTGCTGGGATATTTTTCAACTTTAGTAGAGAATGACAGACTGCCAAAGTGGTTGTATCAGGGTATGCTTCCCACAGTAAGTGTAGTGAGAGTCCTTAGTCTTCCTTATCCTTGCTGATACTTGGTATTATAAGTTGTTTTATTTTACTTTTTACTTCAAAATAATTTCTAACTTACAAAAAGTTGCAAAATAAAAATAGTTATAAGGAATAGCCATTATATCATTTACTCAGATATATAATGTTTTCATTATTATTTTTAGAAATGTTATAATTTCTGTTGTGTTTCCCCATTAACCCAAAGTCTAAATTTCCAGGTGGAAGAACTTTTTATTTCATTTTAAATTTCTAGTTTTACTGCACTGTGGTCAGAGTGTTGTTTGTAATATTTTTACCTGACAGAACTTAACAAACAGTGTTATTTTTGTACCCTGGTATATGACTGATTTGGGGGAATATTCCTTGAAAAGACAGTTTATTCTCTGTCATGAGGGTATAGCATTTGATATATATCTAAAAGATCTAACTTATTGATTACATTGTTTAGATCTTTTATAGCCATTCCTGTTTTTTGTTCATTTGACCTGTCTTATACTAAGAGGTGTTTTCAAGTTTCTTATATTGGTGTGTTTCTGTTTCTCCTGGCATCTCGTGTGGTTTTTGTTTTAAATAAGTAGTTGCTTGTTAATTGGTGCATAGATATTCATAACTTGTTATGTTAGCTGGAATGTGGAATGTGGCTTTTAACGTTATAAATTATCTGGCTGGGCGTGGTGTTGAGCACTTATAGTCCCAGCTACTTGGGAGGCTGACATGGAGAATCACTTTAGCCCAGGAGTTCGGGGCTGCAGTGAGCTATGATCACACCATTGCACTCTAGCCTGGGTAACAGAGCAAGACTCTGTAAAAAATTTTTTAAAAACCCAAAAATATTATAAATTGTCTCTTGCCTCCTTTAATGCTTTTGGCTTGAAGTCTACTTTGGAATCAGGATTTCAATCCCTGCTCTCTTACAGTGTTCATTTACTTCATAAATTGAGCGTTCCTTCATTTTTAGCCATTTTGCATTGCTGTGTTTTAATTTTATCTCCTCTATACAGCATTGAGTTGGGTTTCCCTTTATTCACCAAGTTGAAAATATTTTTCTTTTAATTAGATAAGTTAAGCCTACTCACATTTAATATGACTTATATTTGGTCTCACTTCTATCATATGTTGTAATTAACTTGTGATTATGTTATACATATTGATATTATGCCTCTTCGCTTGGTGTGTCTTCTTTGTTTTTTTCCTTTTGGTATTAGGAAAGAGTTTAGTTTATTCTCATCATTACCATTGTATTAATACTTTTTAGGGTGCCCGTACTCCCCCTTCTCCTTACTTAACCTTTTATTTGTGAGTTTTAAATGTTTTTGACCCCTACTAATTGCCTCTGTAACAGTCACCCCTTTTCTCTCTTCTACTATTGTTAATTGCATTTTTTTACTTTATCAGAAAAGAAAATGTTGATATATTTGTCAACCCATTGACCTCACCCTTGCTTTGGTCTTAACTTTACAATTGAATATATGAAATACTCACTGGCCTTTGAGAAGCTTTCCTGTCATCTTTTGGCAGGATGAAGTTCATCCTTTAGAGGATTCCTTAGAAAGGGCACATGTGTACAGTACACAGTGAGTTCTGCACTTTAAAAACTTTTACTGTGGCCTTGATTCTTCAACAGATTGTTTGGATGTACTATTCTTAGTCTGCAAGGTTTTTTTTTTTTCCTTCTGGAGTTTGCTGAAAAATGCTTCTCCACTGCCACCTTGCTTTGTGTGTGTGGTTTCTGAAAAAATCCGATGCCAACCTATTATCTTATCTATGTAAGTTATTTCAT